GAAAAATTTGTGCGTTTAGGCCAGGGTTTGACTTCGTGTGGACGGGGCCTTAGTACATGTGAAAATATTGGTTTCCATTTCTCCTCTCCCCATATGGATGAGAGGACATATGGAAAGTGCTTAAAGACAAAGGTTTTCAGAGTGGGCATATTTAAGGAGGTTAGGATATCCCCCTTTAGCTGTTTAATTCTCTGCAGCAAAAGGTTGAAGACCTCTGGTCAAAAGTTTTTATCCAGAGAAATATTCAAAAGCATCAAAAGTCTTATCTTGAAAATTACAATTACTATGAAATTGCTTCTTTTAAAATAGGTGACATATATGGTTACACAAGACAAAAAACAGCTTTTTGGGCTATGAAGATTAGTGACCTTTCTGGGGTAAATGACGACTTTTCCAGTTATATTTGAGCTCTAGACTCTGATATTAAAGCAAAACGGGGAAAAAGCACTCTGTTGAGTGTTTTAAATCTAGTTTTCAGTCTGTGAAGGGTTGATCTAGTTTCTAACACTAGAAGCAGGTGCTGGTATGGATAACGTGTAGCTAGTAAAGTTATAAGCAGCATTACCAGATCTCATCCAATCACTTCACATTATTATTTCTTTAATGCTTATTCTGGTTGAAAGTTTTTAGGGTAAAAATGAATATATTCTTGTAATGAGCCCGTCCAAGTACCCTTTCTCTGCTTTTTAGTGAGCTTCAACATGTAATCCTCTACCAAACTTCTAAAGTTTTCAGTGTTTTATCACAAAATTTTTCAAATAAAAGAAATGTGCTTAGTGAAAATCCTTTTTTTTAAACAATGCAGAAACACTGAACGCAAATTATTTTTTTTAAATGAGTAATCAAGTACAGACAAACATATGTTTATGTTTAGATTTTTTTTACAAGAGTTTTACTAACAAAGCCAAATCCAAGAGTTATATAGTCCTATGCCCCTTAAACCTTTCATTACATAATTCAAATAATATATAACAGAGGAAAAGTCATGGCAAGTTGCTGAATAAAATGTGGTGCTGGTACGGCCATTGAATATCTTTTGGACAGAGCCTAGGTACCCGTTTTCTCCCTTTTTTCCATATTTATTTTAAATTAAGTAGATTCATGCAAAATAAGAAAGGAACTTCTAAATGACCTTAAGCCAACTAATAATCCCATAAATAAGGTGAATCACTGATCACTCCTGGTTCTGATTTTAGTAGTATTAGCTAACAAATTCTAAAATGAAATGTTATTTCATACTTCTCTAGTGTTCTGTAAGGCTGTGTCATTTTCTCAGATTTTAAACAGCTGCTGAGTTTTTGGGGGAAACAGTTTACTGAGTTTCCCAGGAGTAGCACAATTTGTGTAAAAGTGTGGCTCTTGGGATTTCGATGCTAACAAATTTACAATTACCAAATGACTGACAGCGTTAAGAAAAAAGGAAAACTCATTTTCTGTCTCCTTTTGCCATTTAACATGTACATTAAGTAATTTTATTCACATTAAATCTAATAAGCACAAACTGACTGAACGGATATTGACTCGCAAAGCCCAGTCAGAACCTTTATTGACTTTTATTCTCTCAGCTGACAAGTCAGTATGTATGATACTTAAGGTCTCTAGTGTTGTATGAGTTTGCATGTCTGTGTTACTTTTCCTTATTTTTTTTTTATTTTTACTTATATTTTCTTTATCTGGACTTTAAGCCCAAAATTGAAACTTTTTTTTTATTTTTTACTTTTACTGATGCTGATGCTCCACGTAGTTCTGTAGATGTGTGTGAGTGTTTCATTTGATTTTTCTCCAAGACAAAACACCAATCTAGGGGTTCACATGAAGATGGCTTAATTGAAGAATTTTTCTTTCAAACAAAAAAAGGTTTTATTGTGATTTAAAGATCTGTTTTTCTTGACTGTTTAATACTTTTCTTCAAAGCCGAGGTCTTGGTTTGCATTACTGTCACTAACTAAGTGGCTCTTATTCATGTCCACAGTTTCTCTTGCTTTTCTTGGTTATTGGAAAAAACAAATCCCATTATTTGTTATTGTATGTGCCTGAATACATACGCTTGATTACCACTGTGTGTGTTCATATGGAAGAGAGGCAGAGTGAGTGAGACAACTGTTGTACTATAAAATGAGATGTAAATAACTTACCTCACGCTCATGGACTTTTGATAATAACTGTAAAAAAAAAAAAAAAAAAGATCAGAGAACATCTATTTGGGATAAATCTTTGATTAGTCGAGATCCCTCCAACAAATGTGCTTTTATAACGACTTCAGGCCAGGAATTGTGCAATGATTTATCATTCCACTTAGTGCACATATTTAATGAGTGAAGGTCTGTGTTTGCATTTTGGTCTTGATTTGGTCTAAAACAAAACTGTTTTTTTTTTTTCCAAGGAAAAAAAATGTACAGGACCTTCATTTATTGGTAAACAGAAAGCACAATCGACATTTTTACAGAGCTGGTCTATTTTCCCCCCTTTGTCTTAAAAAAAATATTAAACACCTGTTTTTTTGTGTGTGTTTTGCCACAGAGGATCAAACCGAATCCCTGAGCTGTACAGATTGTATAAAGTGTATATATGAGAAAACTCTAGTTCATCATTTCATTCTTTTGTATGGAGAGATATTACTTGTGTGAAGAGAGTATTTCAGATTTGATTGAATATTTAGTAATATTGAAAACGAGATTAAAAACACTCGATGTGAAAATAAGTGCTGAGAAATATTATTCTTCTGTCTCTTTGGAATAAAGGTGTTGAGTATTAATAAAAAATAAGAAATCTTGACTGAGTTGCCTTGTTATTTAATCTGACAATTTCCTTGTTAGTATAATGTTGTTTTTTTTATGTTATGTTAACACTCAAATGCAATTCGAACGAAACACTCGTCCAAGTCTGAAATTGTGAAACGTCTATGTGGTTTTGTTTGTTGTACAGCAAACCTTTCAGCTATCGTGTTTTCCACCCACTTTCTTTACATATACAGTAATCACAGTTGATGTCAAAGATATATATATGTGTGTGTGTGTGTGTGTGTGTATATATATATATATATATATATTTTTTTTTTTTGGATCAATGGACCATTTTTCTTTTTTGGACTGAGATGAGTTTGGTGTGTTTTCCAAAAGTAAAAAATAGATGCAAAAGATGGGATTGTACATTTTCTTCAACCAACATAAGGTTAAATACCCCTGCCATGTATTATTTTACAATCATAAAATGCCTCTTTGCAAACAAGAGAGAAACAGCTAGCTTTTTGTAGACAAGTTTTCAATGTCGTCACAGACAGGTCTTGTTGAGTTTGGATCCTCTGTCCTGTTGGAACATCTCTCTGTCTCTAAGCTTTCATCATGTTGTTTTTGAAGGTGGAGGTCTTTATTGCGCTATCAGCTTTGAGCAATGCTCTAGTAGAAACCCTGAGCATGGTGCTGCCACCACCATGCTTGTCAGTTGCTATGGTGTTCTTGGGTCTGAAAACTTTATCTCAAATTAAAACACTTGTCCTTTGATTCTTTTCGGCTGGCCATCAAATTGCACAAAATTTAATTACAAAAATGAATTTGCTTAATGGAAACAGTTTGATTTTGGAAAATGTCACATTTCTGGTTAGTTTTTGCACAAGGGTAATTAGGTTTTTTAGTCGCATCAAATTTTGTTTATTGAATAAACTGCAATTGATGTCAAGTGATTAAAATGTTACTACTAATAGGAACAAGACGTAGCCATTCATGTGATTTTTACTAGCGTTTATTATGAAGTGCAAACACTGCAATGGTGATATTGGGTTTTAGAATTAGCAGAATATCTAGAGTTTTGCTCACATCTGTAATGGAAGCAGCCAAACACCTCAATGTTTATCTCGTCTGTGTTTGACTCTTTTCCCTAGAATGTGTTTCTGTTCACACAGCTTCTAATTTTCTGGTTGCTCCTTTTTAAGAAGGCCCTTTTTTGTTGATCAGTAGTGACTCGTCTCTGATGATGATCAGTTTGATTTCTTATGCACAGAAACACTGGTGTTCCAGCAGGATCTGGTTTATGAATAGCTCTAGCCATCCAGTTCCTTGCGGATATATAAGCTTTGAGTATCAACTGATACCAATATTGACCGATACAATATAAGCAGGAATTAAAAATCCTTATTTTGTAATGATATTGGAAAAGGTTTGATTAGGTGATATTACCTAAATGGAGAACAGTAGTCAGCAACAACTGGTATGGGAACAACTGAATCATTTATTATTAACCTTTAGGTGACATAAACTCTAAACAAGAAGATAAAAGTGGAGTGTTTCTATTAGCTTATATCTGAGAATATTCATATTGTGGCTGATTTCAGAACAGTTTCCTACATTGTATCGGGATATAATTACTTCAACCCTTCTATCTCTGGATGCTTTCAGGAAATTTGTAGTATTTTTCATTTTTTTGTCTTAACTGAAATCTACTTAAACATATTTTTGTTTTTTGTTTCTGTATCATAATGCAGCAAAATATTCCAATTAATAACTATACAGTCAGATCAGTTTTACATATTTTACTTGATAATTAGAACATTTTCCTAATGACATG